CAAGTTCAGTGGCCAATATCTGTGCTTACCACCGCGGGAATTCGAGGTTCCAATATATCATTTAAAAGGGCATGGTACCTAAATTCTTACGACACCAAGTTCAAGATTTGCACTCAATGTCTTCATGAGATATGAACATTTGACTGCAGCAGTAGGACAAAAATTCCACTTGCTCTAACCGCTTGACTGACTTCAGTGGCGGACATCTGCACTTGCCTCTGCACAAATCCCGAGTTATAAAGCTTATTTGTAAAGTACCTGATGTGTCCTTCCTAACTATACCAAATTTAAGATTGGTACTCAATTTTTTATTTATTAAATGAGACTATATGTAGCGGTAATACCAAAAAATTCCTCTTGTTCGAACGATTAGCCCGATTTAAGCGAACGACATCTGCACTCCGCCATCCACTTGTCTAGAGTTATAATAATTCATTCAAAAATGTAATGCATGCTCTCTCTAGCAAGACCGCATTTAAGATTAGAATACCACATTCAATGCCTTGATCATGTATGACTGTCCCAGTAGAGAAAAACTGTAATTGGTCCAACAGTTTCACCAATTTCACCGATCACCTTCTGTACTAATTCCTTCAAGAATCCAGAGGAGTTTGCCCAATTGCAGCAATTAAAACCGATTTCTAAATTGTTTTCCATATTCTGAGAGAGAGCCCATTGCCAAATCTAAGGATTTTTTTTCAAATCTGAGCAAATTGAAAAAGGTAGGTTAGGTTATGGTTTGGTTAAGGTTAGGTTAAGTCAGGTTTGCCAACTTTTGGTCTTAAACCGGTATTCGATGAATCATGACATGAGTTTCACTTGTGAACATGAAATGTATATTTTTTGAAAATCCTAATATGTAGGATTTAAAATAGGCAGGTTAAGTTAAATTACTGCAGTTTTCAAATTGGACTTCCAATGAATGCTAAGGAAGAACAAGAAGAAACTAAGGAATAACATCATTTTGGAAGCAATCGAAGAACCTTAGCTAGGAATTGGAAAATCTAGAAAATAGTTTGAATAAACGTTTCATATTAATAATATAAATGTTTTTCGTGCAAAGACGCATTGCAAAATTTTGAAATTTAAATCCAAATTTATTTTGCCTGTTATTTATTTTTGGTAGTCCGCATTTCCCTTTCCTCAAAAACTGTTGGAAGTATGTTCTGATGAAAATGCCATTCTTTCAAATGCAAAATCCCTTCATTTGTAAAGTAATCTAACCTAACTTAATTTTTTCAAACCCTTCAGATTAGAGTAAATCGACATCTTATAACGTATGAAAGTATCCAAATTCGAGTTTGAATTCGAATACTTTCGAATACTTTCTTCCTTCCAAATGATATCTCATTCATTGAATTCGGTTTAACAGGCAAAATCACATTATTTTTTTAAACCTGCTTTGAGCTTTGAACTTATTATGGCCCCCCAAAATTACAATATTTCGAAAAAAAACATATCGAAAAGGTCAATGAATGCTACTAATATGCAACATTATACAGGAGTAAAATGTTTTCCATTCCATCAATACATTTTTTAATCAATAGATCCGAACCAAATAGGAGGCTATCAAGTTTAAGTAATCGAAATCGTAATTGCGTTCACAACTGGGATTTCTTTGTAAAAATTAACGCTTGATTACCTCTCTGAGATATGAAGGTATTCCAAAACGGTTTGGAATATACAGAGCCCCTAAGTTACTCCCCACGAGGTAAAGTCCTAACCAAGATCAGACGGCTATATTTGGCCCTGGTTAAGTCAGGAAGAACATATTGACATAAATGGAAAACTGAGACAAAGTCTAATATGATTTTACGGGTTTTCCCTTTCTGTAGTTAATGTTGCTTCTGATGATACATACGGATTTCCTAATTTCCATGTAGTAGGAATTATGGTAACACAAGGAGTCCCTGCTACTTTAAAACACCATAGTAACAATTAAAATCGTTAAATTTGAATTATTTACTATGAAACGACAGGAAGTTTAATTTGAAACCCGCAATGTCGTCATCCTCTTCTCTTTTCATTGCTTATATTTCATGCTTAAAACAATATAAGAATGATAAATATGCGCCAAATGAATGTACCTCTAGGATATTTCCAGGAATATATTATTTATGCAGTTACTATGAATGCTTTGCTATATTTTGTGCATCAAAACTTGCTATTTTACCCAATTTAAACCAAAAATTACCAAAACCCACCAACATCCACCAAAATTCCTAAGCATGGGAATCCATGTTACAACCAGGCATACTCTGACAGAGACCAGTGAACAGCTGTAGTTCATTCATCCCACATTCTTTCAGGTATTAGAAAATTAGAGAAAGAAATTTCTCCAATTCCTGAAATTCCTTTTCTTTACTACTTTTTTTTTTACAGGAGGTAAAAATGTCTGAGTAGCAAAATGTCTGAGTTATATCAATACCCTGTGGAGTTTACAGTAAAATATTCTCACCAGTCACATGACGAGCGCAAACCAATTTCGTCAAGTGTGCTCGACTAATGATGCAAAATTGTTAGGAAGACAAATTACACAAATGGTCTAAAAATGAAAAGTCCAACAGTCAAAACGTCCACTGTATTATTAGTTCACATAAGAAGAAAAGTAGCACACAACAATGAATCAACATTGATTCAAATTAATAAAACATCAGGATGTTGAATCACCATTGAATCAATTTTGTTCCAATGTTATTTGCTGCAAGGTAAGGTCCACAGTCTAGATCGGCTAAAAGTCAAAAGGAGCAATTGTGAAGAAGTCTGAAGTTGGTAATAATATAACTGCGTGGCCGATTTCGTTTAGCTCAATGCAATATACGTGTATATGTTCCTCGAGGTCATCAATACCATTTGGTACAGTTCGGTACAGAAGCACATACCTATTTTTCCCCAGTCTAACGAATAGTTCGCAAGTTTTACACGCGTCAAATTTCAGGGACAGAACTTGACCTCCACAACAGGTAAAAGATACAGGTAAAAAATCTGAAGCATGGGTCAAATTTCAATAAACCAGCTATCCCTTAAAAGGGAAAACTTGGGGAACACTGTTTGCAATCAACAAAAACTCAAATATTTCTTTAACGGGTTTGCATGTCTGAATAAATTTTTGCCTTGAAAATTACTTTGCGGATCAGAAGTCAAACCAATGTCAATTTAACAGCAGAAATACATATATCATTGAAAGGGCAAAGTTTAATCGATGTAATTTATTTTGTTATGCAGCTTCTTTTTGCTTGGGTTAGTGAAATTGTAATTTAAAACATATTTACCGAAAAAAATAAAAGAGAATCACATGATCTTCCTTTGCGATTCCTGCGCAAATTTAGCAGTAAAATAACACTTATTCAGTTTCTTTGGGAATCGTGAAAGAGCTTCACATTAATTAATTCACTACTTTCCCCTGATGCATGTGCATAACAAGAGCGAACCTGGAAACCTTGTTTGATTTTCGTAATCATTTTTAGGAGTTTTCAATGCACATTTTATAGATAAAAAAACATGCATGTTATTGTGCCCGGGAATTAGCGGGAATAGGGTTATTCCCTATACCCGCTTCTGACATTGGAGTTCTTGGTATGCTTTCCCCATGATTATTTGCCCTGCGCCCTTGAAAGTCTAGTTGATATCATAGTACAAGAGTGAAATCTTGTTAATCAAACTTCATCGCATCAAAGATCACACGATTCTTTCTTGGTCGTGCTTTCTGGCTTTTTGCATATGATGAGCAAACGTGGAAGAATGTGTCAGAATATTACATTGTAAATGGCTTTGTTGCCCATTTCATGAGAAAGGCTTATAATTTGATGCGAAACTCTGGAGCAGTTTGGTGCAGAACGCATGTGCACCAAACACTTGGACCACATTACTTCAGCACATAAGTTAATGGCTTGTGAGGCATAGCATAAATACTTTAAAAATATTATTAACCCATTTCGACATGAAAATGACATTCTATGTTTATTGTGCTGAAAATAATAGGGCTTGCTTGAATCTGTCGGAGTCAATTGTGAAACACTCTTCATGTGCTTAGAATTATTCATATATTTCCTCCGACTGCTTTCACAAGTTGATACAATAAATCTGATGTTGTACAGCAGAGTGAACATAATAATTGAAAGGATGGTTTTAGCAAACTCTAATGGCACTCATCGAGGCCAAAGGACAAATCTTTGTGTGTTGCCTATGCAGAGAGTGACTTAAAGATGACAGTAGACATCAGTGATATTACCGTGGAATTTTGTTAAGTGAATTATAACTTAACCTTTGTTACTCTGAATTTTCGTAGACATAGGACATGGAGGGCTACGTTCGCGCACTAATAACTGAATGCATCCCAATATCGTTATTCAGACGCATGTCGTTCCCCAAGCGATCTTCTATGCATTCATTGATTGCAAAAATTAAAATTCGCATTATTGAATGACGAAATCTTGACATGGAAGATTGAGACAGAATAAACAAGTGTGGGATGTCCCGAAAAGGTTTTGTGAAATATTTTGTATCATTGATAAACATTTAAGTGGAGGACCTTACCAATGAGTAGCAAGTATCATTTTAAAGAAATGTGGCCATCTTGTCGCTTTTCAAGGAAAGCAAAGTTGTCACTAGCAGATTGGAAGGTATGACTTTTAAAGAGATTCATGCACGCTTTTAGCGTCGGTTCCAACTGATACAGCGAATACACAAGTTTCAGACAGGGGGCTGAGAAGACGAGAGGCAGAGTGAAAAACTAAGAACGTTAACAGAATGCTTTAATAACGTACGAAATGCCTTTAAGAACAGTCCAATAAATCTCTCCTGACATTGGTCGGTGGAACTAGCCATGAAGCAAGCCTTCAGAGCACAATTGATAACGGGGTGAACAATGCTTTTTCTGCCTCAGTTGGTTCCACAGACACAGCAAAGTACAAATGAACTTTCCCAGTAGTGATATCACGAACAAGGAAAACGTATCACCTGGATACAAATGCGTCTACAAGGGGATCTAACATTGGCAGGAACCTCCAAACCCTTCCGTTGCCTTGTTGCTTCGGGATATCTTTGATGAACTTTCCAACATGACAGAAATCAACAATGGGAAACCGATCCTTCACACGCTTCATCCAGGATACGACATCGCCTTGGTCCATTGAAAAATTCATATAAATCCTTACCAGCCAACCTGTTGCGAAGGGGAAAAAAAATAGCAATAGGAATTATAATTTAATTCTAACACTTATGAAAGTCACGGATATATTACCAGGATACCATTTCATGGCACCATATGGGATTTCGCATGAGAATAGCCTCTCATATGATGGTTTTGCCCCAGTTTTACCATTTTCTCGGTAGAGACTGTATGAGAGAATCTTCTGGTTATGACTCCGTGTGCTGCACAAGGAATCTTCCTGCATGCCAGACATTCCCTCCTTGTGGTGAATGCCATTTTCTTGCACATAACTAACATCGCAGTAAAGATAAATGAAAAGTAAAAGTAGACCGATTTGGAAAAGCAGAGAATAGTGCAAGTGTTCCTTCATCCCTCTTACTTCAATATCAGTGCATTAAGTACGCACTATCACAACCTGGAAGTGCAAATTAATGCATAATTTAAGGTTCTGTAATATGTCTGTCTTTATGCTAAATGAATGCCCCATCCATTAGAGAGAAATGACACAAAAGTTTCAATGCTTGAAATATTGCTATACAGTAATATTTTTTTCAGGTGAGGTTTTAATGAAACTTCAGCCATGTCATTGTCACTGACAGAATTAGTTGATTTTATTTAGTTTGGGGTTATAAGGTTTATACTCAGCAGTAGGCATATTAAAATTAGACATTTGAATTATACCCAACTCGTATATTGATCTTCCTAGAAGAGAGAAGAGTAGGTAATGACTGCTGACACGTTTTCCAAATGCTTATATTACAGATCATGCAGGCTAGGGGATAATGTTGCATTTTCAGATACAACTCTGATTCAATAAACAAATAAATATAGGTATGAGAAGCTGACATTGACGTTGTGTGATGTACCTTTAAATCCAAATGATGGAATATTCTATATTCATAAATGTATGACAAAAACAGAAAGGATTACTGCAATGCAAATACGTATATTAGTTGTGTGGCTGAAATTGCTGGCTATAATACAAAACATATTCAAGTTTTTCCACACACAGTGGGCTCATATTGCCATGGATAAAACATTGCGTCACAGCAGGAAAAGGCGAAGTGTGTTACCTGGTACGCTAAGTATAAAAGTAAAATCAGAGTTCAACGTGAATGCCATTCATTTGCACAGAAAATCCTCCTGACACGAAAATCATAAAGCGATCATTTCACATTTTTAAAGAAACTGGGAAAGGGGATCTGAAATCCACGTAGGAAGACCAGGGGCCCATTCCACAGAAGATTTACAATCTACAAGTTACACGTGTATTACTTGTCGAATCAAGTTTCCGTTCCACAAAAGAAAATTGTACAAGAAAGATTTACAAGTACAAGTTCATCCATTTACAAGCGAATTGAGTTTGGGAAAATGGATTCTGTTCCACAGAGACAGACGTTTTACAAGTACAAGTCTATAGACTTGTACTTGTAGCTTTATTTTCTACAAGACTTTCATGTTTGATAAATGTATTTTCTGCATTCCTGTGTCTAGCGGAAATGATGATTTTCCTGTTGTGACCATTGCATAGGACAATATAGGCATAGTTTTAATGTGGGACACTACAGTAGAGTTGGGCTCATGTGATTACGACACAAAAAAATTGAAAGAACAAAATCCAGCGTCGCAGGAAATGAAATACCTGACTATATGTATTGCCCGCTAAGGAATGATCACAACAACTTTTCTTGGCCCCCTCTATGATAGAATTAACCTTGAATGTAAGTGCGGATTCTGTCTGGTGAACAACCAATGGACTCGAACAGCTTCCCCACTTTGTTGGGCATATTCGATGCACCCTATCTGGAATACGTAGACTCTGACCTTAACCATTTGCGGTCATATTTATTTTCCACTAGTTGTCCCCTCAGGTCATATTTAATCTCAATGAAAAAAGATAAAAACACATTTCAACAAATCATTTCAAATGCCGGTCGGTAGATGGATAAATACAATCGGTAGATGTCGTGTGAAGTAAAATATCGTAACAAATGGCAGGAAAAAGTAATTTCGGGTGAGTCCGAACAAAGGACGGCGGGCAAAAATGATATATTTGTGATGTCGGGTGACACCCGACATATGACTGGAACTAATCTTTCTTAATGTCGGGTCCTGCCCGACCCATGACCACAAAGGGTTAAGGCCAAGAGATAGCATATTCGATTCTGCATATTCAGCTCCTCGTTATATGAGATATCCATATGTTTTCATTGATGAAACCTCTTTTGGTGTCATTCCATGAGTGCTACACGATAGAGAATTCTGGAATGCACTTAGAACTTGTATTATGAGCTGGCTCCGGTGCCTTGTACTTTACGATTTACAAGTACTACCGCAAACTCTGTGGAACAGAAAATACAAATACTTGTAAATACAGCCACACCGCTTGTAACTTGTAACTTGTAGTTTGTAAATCTTCTGTGGAATGGGCCCCAGGGGTAAGCGCATATACTTTGCAATGTGCTGATGACTCGCAGTCCAGGAAAGTCAATGACGTCCTTTAAGTGTGAAATTCCGCAGACCGCAGTGCACAAGAACCCACAAAAGAACCTTAAAATGCATCCATATCGCTTGCAACGACGGCACATACTTCTTGGCACCGATTAGGTTCATCAGCTAAAATTCTGCCTCCGTTAGCAAACAAAATCAGGATGAATTCTTGGACAGATTTCTCTTCTTTGACGAGACAATATTCCAAGTCAGCGGAGTGTTAAAACGCATGATTGCATTGTTATGGAAATAGAAAATCTGCATTATGCTTGAATACGAACATTGAAGCCCAGAAGTGAATTTTTTTGGCAGTAATCGAACAAAAAAAGTGTAGGGACCATTTTCCTTTCAAGAGGAAACAGTTTGTGCCATCCTATACCTTGACATGCTGCAGCAATACCGGGGGCCACCACTCCTTCAAGATGGTTTGATGGATTCGATTACCTTCCAGCAAGATGGAGCGCCTTTTCATTGGTCACGGGATGTGCGTCAGTATCTAACAGTCATTCCCGCAAAGGTGGTGCTGACGAGGAGGTCCAATTCGGTAGCCGGCAAATTCACTTAATCTCAAACTGATGGACTTTTCACATGGGGTCCTGTCAAAAATAGTGTGCGCGCCATAAAGTCACAGAACGTTGCAGAATTAAGGGACCGAATTCGAGAAGCATTCAGGACAATCGCGGAGGAAATGCTGGCAAGAACCTGGGCTGTAATCTCATAGTGATATGAGTTACGTAGAGCGAGTAATGTGAAACACGTGAAAGTTTAAGCTAGAGACCATTGAACACCAAACAAAACATAATCATGTCAAGTGCGTGCATCAAAAGTTTCGAGCAAATAAAATTATTTGCTTCCCAATTACGATGAATTTGTGAGAACCCTTTCGAAAATGAATCGAAATATCAAGGAATATCAACACATCGAATGTTTTAGTGAAAGAAATAAATGCGCTCATATGTTTTACTAGCGAGATTGTTTGCCCTTCAGGCAAACAAACTAGCTATGGTCACGCCTTCGGCGCTTTATTACATTGGATAGTGATTAATTCATTTCTTTTTTTCCGAAATTGGAAACATGTATTTTAAGTACATCCCCATTGAAATACGTGACATATGGGTCGAAAGTCTTGATTTTTATCAAAATCATTACCTCCCTGATACGATGTGTACCTAACTTACAATCTTTTCATGTGTCCCTTTTTGTAAGTGTGGAGAATACATTTTGAAATAATTCCCTCCAAAAACCTACGCTAACTAGACATATTTCAAAATTAGGATTTTTACTCTACTCAGCCATGAAACAGGTAATTCGGAAGGAAGTTTAAATTTTGTCTTTGCTTCTTTGAATCAATAAAAAATCAGGAAAATGGGACCGAAAAAAGTCCCATGATGGGTTTTAACGAAAATTATATATCTTTTGAAATGTAGACTCAGGGAAATCCATGCTAACCAGTTTCAGCGTTATACGTTTCCCTTTTTGCTGGCGAAAAAAAGTATTTCGAATAGCAACCCACCCAAAAGTTGTGCTCTGAGCAGAAGTATGAAAAAAAAATTTAATTTCTCCTTAAATCAACATCACGTCAGTGATGCGTGCTCATGCTACTTTTCTATGTCTGCCCGGTGAACTACATGCTCACAAAGTTTCAATACTATACGTTTGCCCTTTTTCCTGGTGTAAAAACATGCTTGGAAAAGCCGACCCACTCAAAAGCCATGCCTGGTAGTGGATGCCCCATGAAAGCTGAATACTCCCTTAGCTCAGTAATATCATGTCACTTACACGTGTGCCAAGTTTCACTTTTCCATTTCTGTCCAATTCGCCACAATTTTTTTTCAAAACATCGCCCCTCGAAAAAGTTCCCCATAGGGGATGTATCGAGACTTAACATTTGTATTTCTCATATCATCGGCAGTTACACTCTTCTTATGAACCGCATTATCCTTTGACTCTTTGAGAGTCTACCGCGTGCTCAAGAATTCAGGATTTCGACTATACGCACGTCTCACATCCCTAAAATTCTTAAGTGTCGAGGGAAAAGATAAACTTCTAAGGATGGTAAGTTGCACACCTGTCAGTCGCATCGATGAAGCAAGTCACCTACTGGAACGCTAAATAGGGAGATATTCACCTGTAAATTAGAAACGTCTCCTTTTTGGTTATCTTTTGCTGTTTATGGTTATCTATGACTACAATTTTCGCAAAAATATCAGATAGTAACGAGCTCCAGAAGACCTTAGATGTGCGGAGTTAGGAAAACGCCATGAAATAGTTGTTGGCGGCGCTTTTTACCATAGTTTCCAAACATCCAAGGATCAAAATAAGAAAACATCAACTTTTATTTATTCTCCAGGATTTTTTCATCAGTGAAACGAATATCGGAATATTGGAGGCGCCCGATATTTTGTTCGTCGAAAGGTGCAAATGTGAACAATCACATCAGGTCATATTATTTTCCAAAGCTCACCCACTAATTTCTTTACCAGT